TGCACTAGGGGACATGAATCAATAAAACAAAAAACAACAAAAAAACAGCTTTTAAAGGAGCAGTGATTTTTAAATCACTTAAAGAGTAAGAATAAAAGTGAAAAATTCCTTCCAATATCATGCCTGGGGGGTCCCTATAAACTGCCTGTAAATTGGCGGATCAGTAGGATGTATAGAACCTGCTGCAGCAAAACTGACATTTCTAAAGAAAAACAAATTACATTTTGTTTTACTCTAACAGTGTGCAGTCCCCACTCCCAAACAATACCAGACCCTTTTGTGTTAGGAGGGACAATTTTTTTTTTTAAAGCGTAGGGTTCCCCCTAAAAGTTATACCAGACCCTTAAGGTCTGATAAGAATATTGAGGAGGGACCCTCATGTAAAAAAAAAAAAAAAATGTGTGTTCCCCCTTAACTACCTCCGGTTCGGCCGTAGTAAAAAAACGGCCGGCCGGGAGCTCTCTAGATGTGAGTGGCCTCTTTAGACATCCGCTCAGACACGCCCCCTCATGTGTGCCGCTGGGCGCGCGTGAGCAGAAAATGGCCAAATTTAAAAACAGGCAGCTATGCCGGTTAACATACAAGCGACAGCCGGCGGATCGCTTGTATGGGGTAACGATCGGTGCGCCCCCCCCTTCGCTGTCCCCCCTGCCGTTGTCCCACTGATCCCGGGCTCCGCTGTGCCTGGTGCGAGCCCGGGATCAGCATGTCGCCTGTGTCACAGGGGATCAGAAGGAGATCGTTACACGAGCTCCCTCCGGTCACCTCTCCTCTGCAAGAATGCGGAAGTGGTGTATATTACATCACTTCCGCATTCTTGTGTCACTCTCCAGCTTCAGAAGCTGGAAAGAAGCTGATGGAGCAGATCTGTGCTTCATCAGCTTCTTTTGGGGGGTCCTGGGTGGCATTAGGGGTCTTGGAGACCCCTGATGTCTCCATAAAGAGGACCTGTCACATATTTTGCTAACACATAGGGGGGTTTTATTAGCCCCCGTATGTGATAGCAATAAAGTTTAGTGGAAAAAAAAAATTAGAAAATTTTTTTTTTTTAAAGTTACACATAAAAAAGAATGAAAAAAATGTAAAGTTCCCACCCATACATACACGCATGCAAACATGCGTCGGGGGCGCATACGTGCAAAAAAGACGATTGCGCCCATTGCTTTTTTTTATTTACCAAAAAACTAGTTAATAATAAATGTTTCATAACATAATGTAAAAAAAAACTTTTTTTTTTCCAAATTTTCAGTAATTTTTCCTAATCATAGTAAAAAATAAAACCCGCAGTGGTGATTAAATACCACCAAAAGAAAGCTCTATGTGGCCCCAAAAAATGGTATAAAATTCATTTCAGTACAGCGTTGCAGGACGGAATAAACGTCAATCAAAGTGCCGCAGCGCTAAATACTGAAAAATGGCCTGGCCAGGAAGGGGTTCTAAACACCTGGTCTTGAAGTGGTTAAAGTCTCTACCAGGCCCTTTAGGTCTGGTATGAATTTTAAGCTGCAACCCCACCTCCAAAAATGGGGGGGAAACATGGGGTACCCCATAAAATTCCATACCAGACTCTTGATCCGAACATAGGCCTGGCAGGGCCGGAAAGGGCGACGACTGAGTGCCCCCCCTCCCACACGTGAACGGATGGGGGAGGGGGCGGGTACAGCTGGCTCTGCCTCTAGATAGGCAGAGCCAGCTGTCAGTCACGCAGCTGGGTGGATCCAGAAATAATTGTCGGGATCCGCTTCAGCTGCGGCGTCTTAGTATACCGCGAGCAGCAGCTTGCGGTATACTGCGGCGTCTCATTGTCACAGGTCGCCTAGAACTATGAGTTGAGTGAAAAGCACTCACCTCATAGTTCTCCTTTAACAAATGATCATGCTACAGGGCGCTGCCCCACTTCAGCCAGGGAGACTGTGATATCTAAAAGAAAAGCACAAACAGGGGGTGCCTTCCCTAGTGCAGATAATATTTTATTAAAGTAGAGGCAAACAATAGGAATTGTACTCACAAGAGTAGATGAACATGAGCCTTAGAAGGTAGAGGATGTGACTCATACAATAAACCAGGATGAGGCCAGTGAGAGCTGCGTTGACGCGTTTCCGGGGTCATGCTCCCTTCGTCATAACCTAACCTCATAACTACCGACATAGCAAACAACCCAGGCACTATGGGGACCGGTGCATGGAGGCTGGGGCCCAGCAGCGAAGGTGGAGAAGGCGGGGGCTCAGCAGCGCCGGTCCGGGAGCGGAGGAGGAAGCCAGGGCCCAGCAGCAGCGGTCCAGTGGCGGCGGTGGTGGAGGAGGCCGGGGCGCAGCAGCGCCAGTCAGGCTGTGGAGGAGGCCAGGGCCCAGCGACGGTAGCAGTGCAGGGGGCCGGGGCCCAGCAGTGGGCGGCTTGGGCTGACAGGTAAGAGGAGCACAGGTGTGCAGGGAAATGGACCCTGACCAGCCCACCTCAGACCCTGCAGAGCCCACCATAGAGAGTATCAGGTGGGCTGTGCAGGATCTTTGGTGGGTTCTGCAAGGTCACTCTCAGGTGGGCTGTGCGGGGTCTCAGGTGGGCTCTGCGTGGGGTTTATGGTGGGCTGCTCAGGATTGTGTTTTGTAATGGAAGGCTTAAGCTTGGTTACCAGTTTTTTTTAATTATTTGTAATTTCTACTGGTTGCAGATTTCTCTATCCAGTATCAAGATCAGTTAGCCTTAGGAAAACCAGAACATACTTATTTTTTCTAGTTTTGGGTAGAGTAGGGAAAAGTAAGAACCTCTGGGTTTTTAATTCTATTGATGTCCCTAGTTGGGAGAATTCCCCACACTTCCTATTTTTAAGACCCAGTAGGAAGTCCTACCTATGCCAGTTATCACTGGAACATGTGTCCTTATTAGGACATTTCCCCACAATCTTTTCATGAGCAAGGCTAGGTTTTTCTTCACTTTCTGTTCCAGTGACAGTGTTCAACGGGGTAGAAAGTAAAAGAAAATCTCCTTAAAGCAATGCACACAGAAATAAAAACCTGATTATAACCCATTCCAATTTTATACAAAATTAGAAATAAAAAATAACTGTGGTCCTACTTTAACGCTGAATTCCAGTCATGCAAAAATCAATTTAAAAATATATCCTTAATAATAACAAAAGAATATAAACCCAGTTTTTACCTTGTAACAGTAGCAGTGGCATCATCCCTATGCTGTACATAGCCTATGCAGAAAGCGTAGCTGTCGGAGGGGTCCAGCAAGCCGCCTGCAGGCTACAGGCTGCCTGCGGAGACAAGACCAGTCATTATGCACAAAGAAAAAGAGCAGCAGTGACTGGTCTTTATTACAAGAAGCTCTACACAGAGGCAAAGTTTCATGCCAGAATACTGCACAGATCTGGAAGAAATACACAGAACACAGCAAGGTTCAAGCAAGAATACACATGGCTCTTGTAACTAGATGTCTTCTTAGATTGGATTCCTAATTGCTAGGGATGCACCGATACCGATGTAATGACGCGCTGCCCGGCTTCCTGATTGGTCGGGAAGCTGGCCAGTCAGGAAGCCAGGCATCGTGTAATGACGCGGCATTCTGATTGGCCGGGAAGCCGGCTTCATGCTCCCTCGTCATCTCATGACGAGAGAGCATGGAGCCAGCCTTTTGCCAATCAAAAAGCAGGGCTCCACGTCATTACACGGCGGCCGACTTCCATGATTGGCCAGCAAGCCGGCTCCGGCTGGGTACCGGAGGAAGGCCGCTCCTGGCTGGAGAGGCCCCGGGGGTGACAGGCTGGATATGCCGAGGTGAGAGGGGACAGAGATCCGCAGCATACAAGCCATAGAGTCGAGCACTGCAGAGACAAGCAGGACATATGATTATTATTATGGGGATTCGTATGGGACGGCTTTCTTGTTAATCGGGAAGGTGGGTGGCGAGTCATTACACGTCACCTGGCTTCCTAAATGGGACTTCTGGTACTCCGTAATTGGTATCGGCGAGTACCGAAACAAAATTATCGGTGCTTGTACTCGGTACCAAAATACCAGTATCGGTGCATCACCATTAATTTGTCCAAATGATTGAAAAAATAAATCAGCATATAATCAGATCTTTCAGGTCCGGAAAACCAAAACCAACCGAACAAAATTATATTTAGGGGGTTATTCACTAAAAAGAGCCGAAGGATTCAGCCATAGCTTCGGCTGATCCTTCAGCTCTCTTCGGCCGCCTCTGCCCTTTGGTTCAGTCGAATAGACCATACAGCAGTCAAAGGCGGCCAAGCGGCTCGAAAGAGCTGAAGTTACAGCTGATCTGTAATGACAGATCAGCGTCCCCAAATGACCTGGGGGAGCTGATCTGTCATTAAACAACAACAACTGGGCGGAGCTGGCCATGGCGTCATGGCCGGCTCTGCCCAGTTATTATTCATTGGCCTGGACCTGCTAGAAGACTCTGGCAGGTGCCAGACAATAGGAAACAGTTGTGCGGAGCTAGCTAGAAATAAAGTACTGGTAGCAAACAACCACAAGTGGCGAGTGATTTAGCACACCAGTACTCACCCCAAGGTGAGTACTCTGGTGAAGCTCACCTTTAAACACAGCTCCCTATCTTCACATTGCACAGGTGTTGGGCTCTATGTTTCTGGTTTCCATTGATTGGAGAGCAGACTTTGGCTCTGGTAGACAGGCTTCCCCGAGCACAAGTGACCTCAGGAAGGAACAGAGTTTATCACTGCTGAGATAGAGGGGGTGAGTGTTTTCAATGGGAACAACCCAGATACACCTGTCCTTTATACAATGAAAGCCCATCTTGTGCTGTCTGCATATTGAACCATGCTTTCATTAACCCAATACCCCAACACCAACTTTCTAAGAAAATAATACCAGCAATGTAGCAATCAGAACAGAATTTATTTAATCTCGAAAAAGCTTTGTTTTACATTCAGGAAAATTATAAGCAATGCTTAGTTCCTTTCACCCCCACAAGCCCATATTTGCTCTCCATGAGAATTTTGGCTGTTTGTCTTAATTCATCTTCTCTTCAACCTCTTGCACAGAAGAGGACACAACCTTTCCATCTACTACTTCCTCCACAATGGTCTTCACCTTTCTGGTTTTGGTGGGGTCTGAAATGAAGATCAGGAAATGTCATTAATAAAGATATTGGGGCCTATTTTCTGTTGATGTCACACTAAGGCCCGATTCACATGGATGCCCCAGTCTACATGTATGCTGGACATCTATGCAATTTAACAGGCATTTAATACACATTTACAGGATTATTCACAAAAGGGTGAAGAGTTTGGAGAAGGCAGGAGAAGTGTACAATCTAGGACAACATAGCTGAACTGCAAAGTATGAGAGCTTGTTCCACATCATGTCCATTGAGCTGCCTTGATCAATGTAGGTTCAATGCAACGGCACATAGAAGACAATAGTTTTCTACATGCCCTGTTGACACCATAAAGTTGAGTTGAGGTGTGTTTCAGTGCACTGCATAAAAATGCAGCATGTCTACATTTTTATGGAGTGCAGCACACAGAGGCAGATGTCAGAGTTGAATGAAAAGTCATTATGTGACATTTCAGTAAAGTTAAAAATAAAATTATACAATCTAGGTAGGCATCCTATGATGACAATCTAAAGAAAAAATGTCTGCTCAATGTTATCAAATCAAAAGCACACAGATATTTTTTTATTGTTTTCTGCCAGTGTCACATGAGCCCCAAGAAGAAGACTTTAATCTGATTGTGACCTACTGCAGGTATTCTGGGCTTAATGCTTCCCCTCCAAGCCTCAACTACGAATGATGAGCATTTGTGTTTCAGAGGTAAAGCTGTTCCCAGTGTTCAAGGTACCTCCCAAAACCTGACCCATGGTCTTATCAGTGACATCACAAGGAACACAACTATCCCTAAAAGCCTACCCCACCTGCAGAGCCTATTGACACAGAAGATGCATGTTTACTGAACAAAGATTCTGGAGCATAAGAATTAATTAACCGATAAAGTTATTACCAAGTTTGGACACGATGAACATTGACTATACCTACTGTACAAGAGACAGCAATTTATCTCTCATTTTATTTTCATCTTTTAGTTTGGAAATGTATTATTACATTTCTATATATGACTCAATGATGTGCTCATTGTAAATAAAATGAGCGTTTTGTAATTGACAAATTTGATTTGGAGTTAAACTACTCTTTTAGGTCAACCAAATGTATTGTTTAGGTTTATTTCTCTTTTCTGTTTTTCATTTTGGTTTTCTATCAAAACCACTTTTTTGATTTTTGTAGCTCCACAGACAATGTTGTCTTCCCAAAACAACATCCTCTAGGTGTCCATGCATGCTGGGTCTGCTGACCCTTGTCACAAGATTTTGTGTTAAAATTATTACTTATCCCCATCTCACCCGCAGTCTGTTTAATAATGTGCCTTTACACTGAGCCAGCAGCAAACACTTTATGCAGCTGCTAGCTCTCAAACCTGGGTTTCCACAGATGATGGGCAAACAATTAGGGTGGTTCTCTATCATTATGTAGTAACAAACATATCAGTTACAAGCTACAGCAGTCCTTGAGAACAGGGTGCCATGTGATCACTTTATCAGCTCTGACATGCAAGTTGGAGACTTCACTGTTAAAAATGAAAACCTGTATGATAAACACTGCCACCTTTCAAACCAGAAAACCACGTTTGGTGAATGTCCAGGCGAAAAAACCCAAGGCCAACTGTGTCCTAGAAACCTATGATACTGTGTGACCTGCTGTGCAACTTGCACAGAATCCTTGGCTGATAGGACACAGACAGAGGTTTGATGGACAGTTGAACTTGCCAAATCGTTCATTCAGTGAACAGCTTAGGTTCCGCTTGAACTCAAGGTCAAACCAAGCCTGAAGCTTACCCCTAGTTCTCCCGAGGACAGAAGGCCACAAACAGGAGTAATAACTTTGAAGATGTTTTAACCCTTCCCCATTTTCCTCAAAACAAACTTTTTTTACTAGAGTAGAGGAAGGCCAGAACCCCTGTCACATTTTATTTTTCTTTGGTAGAGTTTTTCCCTTCCTGTCTGGTGAAACCATTGTCAGCAGGACAAGAAGTGAGGGGAAATCTCTGTAATGGATTGCAGTAAAAAGCCAAAATTTTTGATCCTTCGATCTCTATACAAAACTAGAAAAAAAGTTTTACGTTTGATGAACACTATGTATAAGCTTTTAAAAATATTACTTGCTCTTTTTCGGCCTTAATAGGAGTAATAGTAAATGGTCACTGAATATTCATTACTGTGAATTCAAATTTCTGATGCAAAAACTATCATGAGACAAAATAATAAACATGGAAAATAATTCACAAAGGTTTGTAAATTGGCACTAATGCCTTAATCCTGAATGTGAGACAAAGCTTGACTAAGCAATAGGGAGGAAAACTGTTACCTTTTTTCTTTTCAATGGATTCTGCCTTTACTGCATTTGCAGCTGCAGACGATGATGAGGATGATGAGGCTGATGTGGCTGACGTGGCTGATGTGGCTGATTTGGCTGACGTGGCTGATGAGGATGATTTTGATGATGACACTGCGGAAGACTTTGTAGCGGAAGAGAATTGGCTGAAAAAACAAAGTTGGCATGGCTTAGAGTTGTGAATATATATCATAGAGGTCAACTCAAAGTGAATGATCTATAACAACATGTTCATTCTGTACACCAAGTCCTTTGCAATTTCATACCATGACTTAGCCAAGCCCTCCTACCATGACTTAGCTAAGCCCTCCATTATCTACTGTATGACCAGCTTTATCCATCAACACATATCTAAATCTGAAATTATTAAAAACTCATTAAGGAGATAGACTGGCAAATGTTCACCTCTTCCAACGTTTTTCTCCACCTACTTTATTTAGATGTTCTTAGTCTGAGAATTTTGGTGAATCTTGCTACCCTCCTCTACACAGGTGTTGAAGGGTCAGCTCTTTAACAAAAATTAGATTTTTATTCAAAGTGCCACCTCATGGGCTGCATAAGCCCCTGGCTTCTGATATCTCTTGCTAACTCTGCCCCTGTCCACCCGGAAGTTTTGAGTGTTTCCTCCCACATTTGAGTATTCCAGCATCTCTTGTGGCATCTTCCTTTAAAAAAATGAAAAATCAAGCTGGGAGATTGAAAAACCTTCATAATGAACACAGCAGGTGTGCAGACCCGGGTACTCAGGTACAGAGATCTCACAATTAGAGTCTCTCTATAGCATTTATGTAGATACCAGTCAAGAGTTGTGCTCATGGTTGGGTGGATTGTGCCTGTGTGTTTTCTTGTCCTGCAAATCTATGGCCACCTTTAAACAGGAAAATGCATGGAAAGTCCATCAATATGTACTGTATAGTATTTTATGTATATATTTAGGTCCTTTAATGGTCTTACAGTTTTTTCTAATATACATCATTTATGGTACTCACTCTAGTTCTCCCTCCAGCAGGCGGCGGTACGTTTCAATCTCCATCTCCAGTCTGGTCTTGATATCGAGCAGTTCCCTGTATTCCATGCTCTGGCGTTCCATGTCTGATCTGATCTGCTGGAGCTGCTCCTCTAGCCCACCGATGACTTGTTGGAGCTGCTGGAGCTGACCACCATAGCGGCCATCTGTCTCAGCCAGGGTGTCTTCAAGAGATTTTTTCTACATACACAGAAACATGGCATTATTTTATGCAGACATTCTTTTAATACAGAAGGATTTTCTTTCAATAGATAAAATTTAGTGGTGCATACAATTGAAATGATTAAATTATTAAATAAAATAAAAAAGAGCAAAGTAATCCTCCTTACAGTTCACTATGCAATGTTATACATCTATACTATATAGTCACAAGTTAGTGGACATGTGACTATCACACCTACAGTATATGAGCTTGTTGGATAATCCATTCCAAAACCACGGGTAATAATATAAAGTTGACACCCCCTCTTTGTAGTTATATCAGCCTCCACTGTTCTGGGAAGGCTTTTCACTAAAGTTTTTTTTTTTTTTCGAAATCTGTTTCCATTCAGCCAAAAGAGCAATTGTATAGTCAGAAACTAATGTTTGACAAGAAGACCTAGCCCACAATCGGCATATTGATTCATGCCAAAAGTCTCCAATCGGGCTGAGGTCATGGCTCTATATAGGCCACTTAAGTTACTCAAACTCATCAAACCGTGTCTTTATGGACTTGACTTTGTGCACAGTCATGCTGGAACAGTAAATGGCTTTTCCTACTCTTTGTCCCTTTTCATTCAGAGAAAAGGGCCTTTCCTAATATGTTTTCACAAAGTTAGAAGTGCACAATTAAATAAACTGTCTTTGTATGCTGAAGCATTAACTGTACCCTTCAGTGGAAAAATTTGAACTCAATAATTTGGAGGGTGTCTATCTACATTTGGACATATACAGTACATAGGTGTGATGGTTAGTGGTCCACCTTTAGCCAAGTGCATCATATTTTCACAGAAACCCTCAAAAAGTGGCTGATGACATGGTACATCTCTACTAGGTTCCTGTCAGACTGGATCCTGTCCTCTTAGATGATCTGGTATTTAGGTTTGATACACCATGGATGTGTTTAAAAATTACTACATACTAGGTAATCCCTTCATATCTGTCTATACTGTTTTAAATAATTAATACAGGTTGTACCATTGTTTGTAGGGTGTTGGGTGTAGGCACCTTTTTAAGCCATTAATGTCTTTAGTTTTTAGTCTAGCTTGTTTTATTTTGCAACAAGTTGTGCATAAAACCAACCTGGGGTTGTTTTATCACAATTTGTAATTCTGTGACTTCTTTATGCTTTTGTTCTTTGCTATTCTACCCCGTAAGATAATGGTCTGCTACTTCACCTGGTCAAAATCTACAGTACATCATCAGGTCCACCAAAACGTAATTCTGTTCTTCTTTTTATTTTTTTTCAGACCTAGACGGAGTCAGGGGTAATCGGATATAAACGTAAACATATCTGTTTAGGTCCGGCTGCCCTTAGACCAACATTGGGCTTCTGATGGGATCTGCCTGAAAAACTGACTGGCTTTCTCAAACGGGCCATATTTGCAGCAACACAGAAGATCATTTTGAGGTGTTCTAGATTTTGGTTGTATTATATGCACTTAAATTGACATACCATTGCCAGCTGAGACTGCAACTCTATTTCCAAGCCTTGGAGCGAACGTCTTAGGTCAGTGAGTTCAGACTTGGTTGTTTCCACTTGTTGCACTCCGGCTGAGATCTCCTGGTGCAGTTCTTTGCTCTGAAAAAATGATGGAGGAAAAAATATGTGGCCATATTGCAAAAAGCAACAATTTTATGAAGAACCATAAATTCTCCTCAAATATAAAGTAATCTTTCACTTTGGTCATTGCATGTGTTATTCATGATACAGATTATCTGCTTAAGTTGTGTTGGTATTCTTAGATTAATAGCTGAACTCTAGGCAGATATAAAATACACACATCAATGCAGCTCTGTAATCTTTAATAAATCACTAAATGTAACTTTTTAAGTAATTTTTTTCAGGGGTGCGGCAAAGGGGAGTTAGCTCTCTTATAATTTGGAGGCTCCCTTGGAGACCCTGAAGAGGATGCTTCTTTTGGATGTCCCGAAGAGGAGAATGAGTGGAGGTAGCAGAATGTCTCACCAGTATGGGGTGCAGGGGGCAGACGTATACAATGTACAGAGTGCAGGGTCCAGGTGTATGTATTGTACAGGGGGTAGGGGAACAAAAGTGGGCAACTCACAAAGTGCACGGTTCAGGCGTATGTAATGTACACAGTGTAGGGGGACAGGATTGGGTAAAGCACGGAGTGCAGGGGTCAGGTGTATGTAATGTACAAGGTGTAGGGGACAGGCATGAGTAATGCATGGAGTAGGTTTCGGTAACGTACACAGTGCAGTGGTCAAAAGTATATACAGCCCAGTGCACAGCACCCCCTATGATTCATTTCACCGCAATCCTCTTATGTACCAATTAAGCACAAACATTGTATACACATATACATAAACATGTACTGTATAAAACACACTGTAAATACATACACACGCACTGTATACACATGCATAAACACAAATACTCAATACACATATACTCACAGGTGGGGTGGCAGTTCTAAGAAGCATGACAGGTTGTGCCCTGTTTTAAAGCCACCCTCCTCATGCCTGCATAGAAAAAATACCTGGAAGCAACATGTCAGACTGCCACAGGTAACAGGCAGCAGAGAAACACGGGTCACAGCAATGTCAGAACCCTGGCCACCAGGCAAGAGATGTGGGGCAAGTGCCCTGGATGCCCGGCTCAATGCCCATGCCATCAATGCTCTAGCGGACCTCCTTAAAGTCCCACCCTGACAAGAAGCATGCTCATAGGCTCATAGGAAGTAAAAGCAGAGAGATGAGCTTATCACTGTGCTGCTTTTCTTTTCACTACTCAATCACAGGCTTCTTTGGGTCCAAAATGACCTGTACTTAATAACACTGGCCATCAGACTGAGGACATCGAGAGGCAGAAAAAAAGTACTTTGGGGGAAATCTCTGGATTGAGGGCTGATTTTGCAGCAAAATATGGTTTTGCTATTTACCTTTTAATGGGCTATTCATGTTTATCTGCTATTTCTGGAGTTTTGATTAGAAAAAATAGGCTGTAAAGAATTTATGGTAATTTATAAGCCGCATTCTCCAAATTATTTAAAAAATAACTGCAGCTTTTATCTATATGTTTGCACTTTCCACAGACATTTTGCATTATGGAGAGGGGAATAACTGTATCAGGAGAAACTCGAATAATTAGAATATTGTGCAAAAGTAATGGCAGTAAGTGCTGCAAAAGGGGCCCAAACCAAGTACTGAGTACATATGCATGCTTGTACTTTTCAGAGGTCCGATATTGTTCTATGTACAATCCTTGTTTTATTGATTGCATGTAATAATCTACTTTTTTTTTAGGTTGTGGATTTGGGGTTCTTGGGGTTTTCATGAGCTGTAAGCCATAATCATCACAATTATGACAAATCACGGCTTGAATTATCTTGCTTTGCATGTAATGAGTCTATCTCATATATTAGTTTCACCTTTTAAGTTGCATTAGTGAAATAAATGAACTTTGCACGATATTCTAATTATTCGAGTTTCACTTGTATGCATTCTCTTTAGAGGCAGTGGGAACTGTAGTTAAGAAATGTGGCACACTGATGTTCTTAATGACAAATGAGTTTGTCTGGACAAAATGTGTACAACATCTTCTTCCCCTACTCTCCTCCTTCACAATATTATTGCTAATACCACAGTCTAGGCTCCATTTAAGGTCACATTTGCAGTTATATGTAGATAGCCATCTTATCCTCTGGGCAAACCATGTCTCTGCATCTCAACAGTTTTTCTCAGCCAGTGCTTTATAACTTTTTCTCATATCATTCAGAATCTTACATCCGGTAAAGATATCTCTACCCAACAATGAATGGATCTGTAAGAGTATGGGCAACTCAATGTTTGACAAGCCTCTTCCTTACCTTTGCTGCAAACAATGCCTCAGCTTCTCTGCGGTTCTTGTCAGCCAAAGCTTCATAGTCTGCCCTCATGTCATTCAGAAGCTTAGTGAGATCGATACCTGGAGCAGCATCCATCTCTACATTGACCTGGCCGGTAGCACTGCTTCTTGCAATTTGCATTTCCTAAGAAAAAGTAGAAGGATGGAATAAGAGTCATTTTCACATGTTATAAGAAAATATTTGAATACTGTAACTACACATTACAGGGCCCCATAGCAAAATTGTGATGGAGGCCCCCCTGCTTCTGAAATCGTCTCTACATTGTAGACTTTACAGGGGATTAGAGTTGACATCAATTGCAACCACTACATCCTTTAATGATACAGTAATGTATCATCTTCACACACTCTGGGTTTAATTTGCCTCAACAAGCTAATGGGGCCCCCTTCTGCCCCCAGGCCCCATAGCAGCCGCTTGGGTTGCTATGGCGATAGCTATACCACTGCTGCCTTTGATAATATTAAGCCATAAATGCTAATGTACAGTTTGCCCAGGCTATGAATTATAATTCAAAAAAATGGGTGGACTCATTTCACGAGGCTTACTTATTTGGCATCGGGCTAGTCAGTTGCCAATTTGGCTACAGTGGGTAATCAGACTGTAAAATGGTTGACTGCAAATTGTCAGTGCTATCCTGTGAAATGTAAAATGTGGGCCAGTGCAGAATAGAACACCACTTGAAAATGTAAGAAAATGCAAATTAACTTACCTCCTCATGGTTCTTCTTGAGGTAAGCCAGCTCTTCTGCTAGGCTTTCAAATTGAATCTCCAGATCTCCTCTGGACATGGTCAGGTCATCCAAGGCTCTGCGGAGGCCACTAATGTCACTCTCGACACTCTGGCGGAGAGCTAGCTCGTTCTCATACCTTAGGGAGAAAACAGTAGTTCATGTCACACAAAATGACTATAAATTGCTGCAAACTGTATCAATACTCATATATTCCCTAAAGGATTACAAGCTAAGTAAGCACTTAGGTAGGTACTATAGATAGGGTTCATTGAAGATTTTGGGGCGAAAGAATTATGGATTCACCCTTACATCAGTATTTAATTTGACGCCTACATACTCCATTAAATATTTTTGTAGCAGGGTTGGTGCCTTTTTTAATAGTCAGCTGGCAAAAAAAAATTACAGACAGCTCAACATTTTATTGACATGCTGCCAGTGACGACCAGACTAGATTGCTTCCTGACCCAAAATGCATCCTAATGTATCCCTATGCTATTTCTGGCCTCTGTTCACACCAGTCCGTTCCAGACAAGATCAGACCAGACCAGAAAAATACTGCATGTCTCCTTTTGTCTGGTCTGGAATGCACTGAGACTGCGGGCATGTTCACACCATTTTCCGGACCAGATCTGGCCTGGCAAATGGTGTGAACCTGCCCTCAAAGCTAGTGGTTTAACAGGACAGCCAGTTAATCAGCATTTTTAGAAATGCTCAACATGAGCTACAATTGAAGATGCAATGGAGCATAAATGTTATTATAATAAAGTTTTAGAATACACAAAAATAGATCACCGTTTAACTTACTTCATTCTAAAGTCATCAGCAGCCAGTCTGGCATTGTCAATCTGCAGGACAAGCTTGGAGTTCAAAAGAGTGGCATCGAAGATCTAAAATGTGGATTGAAATACATTTATCTCAGATATATAAGGACTCTAATATTTCCTAATTGATATAAATAATAAAAGTAATCTGCAGAACACCAGAAAAACAATCCAACAGCTTCAATAATGACAATGAGCTTCTGTAGAGCTGGAAGAAGAGGTTTGCTTAGCAAAAGTCGTTTTGCATTTATAATTTATAAATGCAAATTAAATGTAATAGATGTCTTTTCCTAAGATACCATTTTTGGTGACATAAATAGATGAGACATTAATGAGGCATAATAAAAATGCAATAGAGCTGGGGACTGTCCCCCAGCTCTATTGGGGACAATATGACTTTTATGGGGCCTAGGAGTACGGGGGTCCAGAGCTGTCTAGATACATGAGGTGGATGGCAATATTATTAGTGAAGAAAAGATTGTGGGGATGCATATATATATATCTATATATATATATAATGTTTATGAACCACTATGAGATTGCTACATAAACAATTCATATTCTGTATTGCTAAAGAATTTGATATGATCAGAAAAACGGGGTCTCATTACTCATTACCAAACAAATTAATGTATACTGCATTTATCCATATCTCATTGTGAACATTGTTTCTGTGTTCCCTTGCGGTGACTGGTGTTGATCAGGTGCCAAAAATGGCATCGCACATAGTGGAAACAAACCCTTAAATGACTGTGTTAATGTATTACAGTATTTTTCTAAGGAAACTAAATGGCATATTTCCTATAATTATAACAAGAACAGACTTTATCTGTAAGTAGTAGAAAAAAAAAAAGCAAAAATACTGTAAAAATGATAATTTTAATGATTATACTTAAAAAGTACAATATAATGTTTCAGAATAGTGGTAAGGAAATTGGTTTAAAGAACATTTGGAAATGTTAGGTCCTTCTGAACATATGTACACAGAATTGTCCAATCTGCAATTTATCATACACATGAATCATAACTACTTTGATTGTCAACAGAACAAGCAAAAATTCAGTAGAATTAAATGGGATATATGCAACTCTTCCTTGCTTGAGAAAGAAATATACAACAATCTGGTGTATTCAACACTCTTAACTCTATCATTACTTCAGAACCTACCTTTCCCCTCAAGTCGTCGATGGTATCAAAGTACTTGCTGTAATCTTTGCCTCCTGCACCTGCTCCAGCACCTACTTGCTTATCATACCAGTCACGGATTTTGATCTCTAGCTCGGAATTGGATGCTTCCAGATCCCTGACTTTTTCTAGGTAGGAAGCCAGACGGTCATTGAGGTTCTGCATGGTCTGCTTATCATTTCCAGCGAAGTTAGCTGAACCCCCAGCACTGAAAGAAAACCCTCCACCACTTGAGCCACCACCATATCCTCCACCACTTGAGCCACCACCATATCCTCCACCATAGCTTCCAGCTCCATAGGAGCTACCACCAAAACCCCCTCCAAAGCCGCCGCCTGAGCTTGAAGTTTGGTAAGATGATGCTGAGCTAAAGCGGTTAGACATGGTGAAAGTACTGATGGAAACACACTCTCTCAGATAAAGGAGATGATGTGGATGTGGATCATGATCTGCAGCTTCTATATATACAACTTGCAGTGGGCGTTTTAAAGTGGAAATTCACCTTGAGAAAAAAACTATTTGCCCAGTCAACAGCTGCTGCTGGTCCTACCGCAAAATTAGAAGTATTTTCTTACAGCAATTATGTAACCCTCAGGCCTTTTGTATAATGGTATATGACTAGAATCAGGGAGGGGTACATTCTTTTTTTTTTTCTAAAAGCTTCCCCCCCATGTGTATGCTCTGGGCTTCCTTGTATGCAGACAATTTTACAGTTGTCTGCCTGCTCAAGGCAATGTCAGCGGTGTGTTTGAAAGGTTTGTTTGGCATGCAATTATTAAGACGTTGCATTTGTACATCACCATAAACAGTTTGCTTGACAACTTGGAATGCTGTAGCAAGTTTAATGTGAATTATATCAGTATGTAATGATATTTAGATTGTTCAGCTGCTAAATGTCTCTTAGTTCCAACAAATGTCAGTCATTCTCATTAAATGGTAAAGTATAGAGGTGATTTAAATTGAGTGGTAAGAGGTTAGAGCCACTATAAGATTTTAATTGCTGTCTGTGATATCGTAAGGGGATTGTCCTGACCACCAATGTCACTGGGAATAAAAGTGAGGGTAAGTGAAACATTTTTAAGTTGCCACCAGAACAAAAATAGAAGCAAAATCTTTCAAAGGGAGCACTTGTTGCTGTGATAACTGTCTAAGAATGGAGTTCCTTCAAATTGGAAACATATCCTCTTACTTACTTTTAAGTCTACAGGACAGAAAGTGAAGGGAAATATCCTTATTGAGACACAGGTCTTGGCATATAGTCTTGGCATAGATGTTCTTTAACTCATTCCCCCATGGCCTACAATCAGAAATTCACAAAATATTAAACTATTGGCTCTAATATCTATGTGGAAATCCCATGAAAGTTTGATAATATTGCTACTTATGCAACCCTTATTTTTCCACAGGACTGTTGTCATACCTCATATGTGTGCAGGGCTACATAGCCAACATAAGCCATAGCTTAGTATGGTATGACTGACAGGTGTGGTGCACAGTCACCCATACACGTTGCTGACTGTCAGTAACACATTCCAATGAATTACAAGGTTTTAGATGGCCATCCTGCCTGCAAATGCCATTCAACTGGGTCCTCATCATTGCTGGGGACTGTCCCTTCAGTCCCCTGCAGTCTATACATTATTGTAAGTGGAGTGGTATTCTAATCTATGTACTTATAGCTTACTTGCAGAGATCTGTACATAGAACTGGTTATAGAGCAGGGTGATAATTTACCCTTCTCTTCCAGTTGTCAGTTCTACGTGTACTACTGCAGAGTGGACAAACTGCCTCTTCCAGCCTCTGTACCCCCTAGCTTTTGTTTTGTGCAGCTATGGAATTTAATATGGCCTGGGGTAAAAAATATAAATCCACCCCTCTACAAGTATTTGTTCTCCTGAAAATCATTTTAGAACACAATGTAGCACTGCTGTCTTTTTTTTTAACCTGTTATGCACAGTTGTACTATTATCAATCATTATCTATTAAAATAAAAACTTACATTGCATAGCTAACAAGGCAGAAGCTCGGATGGAAACTTCAAAGGGCTTCCTGTGCTGGGCACTCTTCTATGCATTTACATTGTAGCACATAATGCACATAGTGCTGAGCAGGTGCTGAAATGGCCAACGGATGGCGCCATAAGACTAAAAGAGATATTGAGGTCACCAGTACACCAAGGTCCACTTCATCGATCCATCTTTTATTGGTGTTTAGAGGGTGTCACGCGCAAAAGGCAAAGTTTCGGAACCACATGTGGTCCCTTCATCATCACATTGTTTTACCTGATGAAGGGACCACATGTGGTTTCGAAATGTTACATTTTGCTTGTGACACCGTCTAAACTTCAATAACAGACGGATAGATAAAGTAGACCTTGGTATGCTGGATGATGTAATAAGGGTGGCTTATCAGCCAGTCTATGTCCACCCAGAAGCAAGGGCCCTTTCACAACAATAACTGCTGTCATCCCAGTTTTTAACTGAGAATATTTGAGATTGACGCACCACACTAAAATTTAATCATCCAGATTAAGATTTATACCATGATAGAAAAATACTTGATCACAAAGCCAATGCATTACATGGGACAAAAAATAGCAGGGTCTGTTCTCATGGTTTTTTAACCTGCTGCAAGACTCTAGACATGTGCACCGGCAAAAAATAGTTTTGTTCCGTTTTGATTCGGATTTTGCGTTTTTTGTTTTTTCGGATTCGGGTACGAAATTCAATTCGTTTCGGGATTCGGACAAAATCCGTTAGCGGCTTCACAGGCAATCAGGAAGCCAAGCGGTATCCAATGCATTACATGGGACAAAAAATAGCAGGGTCTGTTCTCATGGTTTTTTAACCTGCTGCAAGACTCTAGACATGTGCACCGGCAAAAAATAGTTTTGTTCCGTTTTGATTCGGATTTTGCGTTTTTTGTTTTTTCGGATTCGGGTACGAAATTCAATTCGTTTCGGGATTCGGACAAAATCCGTTAGCGGCTTCACAGGCAATCAGGAAGCCAAGCGGCGGGTCATGATCCACCGCCCGACTTCCTGATAATCTGGGCACACGGCACCAATACTCTATACTCTGTATCAGGGAATACCGAAAATAAAATATACAGTACAGAGTACAGTACTTGTACTCGATACCGAGAAAACGGTATCAGAGTATTTCCAAATCTAGACAAAAATAAATAAAAAAAATTTGAATGTGGCGCTTCAATCTCAGATTTTTTCAGTTACAAACCAAGGAGGCAGTGGAAGTCCTTTGGCGAGGAGGACCTGCTGGCCCAAAGAGTCCAGATATCCTAGTTAAATACCTCTATATTCCCTATCGCAATATAATAATCATAAGGTTCTGGTGTCACACTTACAAATTTATTTCCTAAATGTCAGTTTCTGAAACACTGAATTACACAGGGATTGTCTACTTGCCAGAGGACTTTCACTGCAGCGTCATTGTGGAGGAAACGTATTCTGAGTGATGGTGAGATTATTGTTGCAATTATTAAGACGTTGCATTTGTACATCACCATAAACAGTTTGCTTGACAACTTGGAATGCTGTAGCAAGTTTAATGTGAATTATATCAGTATGTAATGATATTTAGATTGTTCAGCTGCTAAATGTCTCTTAGTTCCAACAAATGTCAGTCATTCTCATTAAATGGTAAAGTATAGAGGTGATTTAAATTGAGTGGTAAGAGGTTAGAGCCACTATAAGATTTTAATTGCTGTCTGTGATATCGTAAGGGGATTGTCCTGACCACCAATGTCACTGGGAATAAAAGTGAGGGTAAGTGAAACATTTTTAAGTTGCCACCAGAACAAAAATAGAAGCAAAATCTTTCAAAGGGAGCACTTGTTGCTGTGATAACTGTCTAAGAATGGAGTTCCTTCAAATTGGAAACATATCCTCTTACTTACTTTTAAGTCTACAGGACAGAAAGTGAAGGGAAATATCCTTATTGAGACACAGGTCTTGGCATATAGTCTTGGCATAGATGTTCTTTAACTCATTCCCCCATGGCCTACAATCAGAAATTCACAAAATATTAAACTATTGGCTCTAATATCTATGTGGAAATCCCATGAAAGTTTGATAATATTGCTACTTATGCAACCCTTATTTTTCCACAGGACTGTTGTCATACCTCATATGTGTGCAGGGCTACATAGCCAACATAAGCCATAGCTTAGTATGGTATGACTGACAGGTGTGGTGCACAGTCACCCATACACGTTGCTGACTGTCAGTAACACATTCCAATGAATTACAAGGTTTTAGATGGCCATCCTGCCTGCAAATGCCATTCAACTGGGTCCTCATCATTGCTGGGGACTGTCCCTTCAGTCCCCTGCAGTCTATACATTATTGTAAGTGGAGTGGTATTCTAATCTATGTACTTATAGCTTACTTGCAGAGATCTGTACATAGAACTGGTTATAGAGCAGGGTGATAATTTACCCTTCTCTTCCAGTTGTCAGTTCTACGTGTACTACTGCAGAGTGGACAAACTGCCTCTTCCAGCCTCTGTACCCCCTAGCTTTTGTTTTGTGCAGCTATGGAATTTAATATGGCCTGGGGTAAAAAATATAAATCCACCCCTCTACAAGTATTTGTTCTCCTGAAAATCATTTTAGAACACAATGTAGCACTGCTGTCTTTTTTTTTAACCTGTTATGCACAGTTGTACTATTATCAATCATTATCTATTAAAATAAAAACTTACATTGCATAGCTAACAAGGCAGAAGCTCGGATGGAAACTTCAAAGGGCTTCCTGTGCTGGGCACTCTTCTATGCATTTACATTGTAGCACATAATGCACATAGTGCTGAGCAGGTGCTGAAATGGCCAACGGATGGCGCCATAAGACTAAAAGAGATATTGAGGTCACCAGTACACCAAGGTCCACTTCATCGATCCATCTTTTATTGGTGTTTAGAGGGTGTCACGCGCAAAAGGCAAAGTTTCGGAACCACATGTGGTCCCTTCATCATCACATTGTTTTACCTGATGAAGGGACCACATGTGGTTTCGAAATGTTACATTTTGCTTGTGACACCGTCTAAACTTCAATAACAGACGGATAGATAAAGTAGACCTTGGTATGCTGGATGATGTAATAAGGGTGGCTTATCAGCCAGTCTATGTCCACCCAGAAGCAAGGGCCCTTTCACAACAATAACTGCTGTCATCCCAGTTTTTAACTGAGAATATTTGAGATTGACGCACCACACTAAAATTTAATCATCCAGATTAAGATTTATACCATGATAGAAAAATACTTGATCACAAAGCCAATGCATGCCGGGCGACGCGTCATGATCCACCGCCCGACTTCCTGATAATCTGGGCACACGGCACCAATACTCTATACTCTGTATCAGGGA